TAACACATGCCCCAACCAACGTAATCTATGGAGGTCGACCACTTGCTCCAGTGGCCGAACGCGGTTACCTACAATTTTGCGCCTGACCTCAGCATTTCTCGTCCGGTTACCCCAGTGCCGGATAGACGGCGATGTTGAAACATTGACAGTCTATCTTTATCCTGTTTTCTTAATGGCAAAGTTTCTGCTCCATATAGCAGAACTGGCCGAACTATTGCAGAATATACTCGACCCTTCACAGAAAGCCGGATGTCGCGACGGCGCCACAGATGTCTCAAGTTGGCAAATGCCAACCGGGCCTTCTGTATGCGAGCTGACACTTCATCCATGATGCGTCCGCCGAGTGTGATGTAGCTGCCCAGATAACAAAACTTACCCATTTGCTATATTCCCTTCCCAGTTAGAGTGAACCTGGGTGCTGGATCAACCCAGTCATGTAGTAACATTTTACACTTTGAAGGTGTAAAACGTATACATAGCATGGCTACAGGTGACATAATGAGTTGGACTACCAGTGCCTTTGTGTTTGCACAACGCTCACCAAGCTAGTGTGATGTGAAGGCGCTCACAGACGACTTTTGACATGATAGGAAACCAGTTTAAAGGAACACCATGTCCAAAATTTGTGTAGTTGGCAGAGTGGAAAACACATGAACTAAATTGATTATAGGACATATCGCTTCCTTAGTACTAAGTTCTGAATTTTATGAAACCATAAAACAGATTTTCTTTCACATGAAAATACCTCCAGGTGTTATGTCTTATGCCAAGACGTAAGATCGATACGTGCGCCTCTTTGTCTAGGCCCCAACAACTGGAGAAAAGAACGCTGCTGAGAAACGACAGTCAGAGTGTATTCTTGATCATCGCTGCGGCGAGAGCATTTTTACCAGAGTGAGCGAGAAGCCAGTATTGTGGGCCCCAGTCGGTTTGACGAGCCAGTGATATTTAGTTCATATAGGGATTTGGAAAGGCTTAACTCCAAACCGATCAAGGAGAAGCATTATGATTGTCCCCAGGATTTGCTAGTCAAAATAATTAGATACAGAACGTGTTGAACGCCCTTATTGTTTGAAACACGCCAAACAGGAGTATCATTAGACGGTTAGAATATCAGACCCAAAAGGACCGCCATTCTCCCTAACCGCCTCGCTGCATCGCGAGTGAAACTGTGGTTACGAATCTCTATGAAACCAATATGACTGGATTTGGGAAACCGGAGAGTATTTCGCCCATGGAAAAACCATAAATTGAGCTTTGAAATCATCATCATCATCGTACAGCGAAATACAGTGAAGTGAACTTCACTGACCGCTGCCAAACTCGAAATGCATACAAGGTTAGTGGTAAAATTTAAGGTGGACAGGGGTTGGATCTATTTTGAGGAAGGGAGAAGAAGATGAGCTACTATGGTCAACACAGAGCACGCAATCGAACTCTGCATACATACCGTTTCAAGCATTTTGACCTGATAAGAAACGACAACAACAACGCCACTGCTGCCGGTTCGCTGACATATCCTTCAGTGTCTCCAACCAACCAGTTGTGGAGTCTTTCGGACCCCAACCTGGAAAGCGAGAGACACCTACTCTACCTAATGGTTCTGTGCATTTCTTCATGCCTCGTTTCCATGTCATCTGTTGACCTCCACTTAGTTTCCTCCAGCCCGGATTAGCTACAGCGAATAGAGCGCGGTGCGGCAGACGATGGCTGGGCATACGCAATACGTGCCCTAGCCACCGAGTCCTAGTAATTTGAATTCGGTATGCTAGCAAGCGATGGAAATGTTTGTGATAACCGATAAAGAGCACTGGAAAGCTGTTCCGTCTTGTTTGGGGACTCGTCAGTAGTGCGTACCTTTTCCCATCGCGTTCAGTTATTTAGGAATTAACAATCTTCAAAGGAAAGAAACCCATACCGAAGAAAATCACGAGTGCCTGGTGTTTCGCTTTAATGTATTTCACGTTTTCAGTCCAGATGAAAACACCTGATCATTCTACTGGATGGTGACTGAACACTTGTGTGCTATGCACAACACAAGTCCGGCTTTGTAACTGAATATATGTTTTCTATTACACACTTTAGTGTGATGGATATGTGGTGGAACCCCATAATCACGATGACCTACTGCTCAATCATGGAAACCGGTAACCCAAGCCCTAGGAATTGGGGTGGTGAACCACATGAGGCCCCACTAGGTCAG